TGTGGATCTCCTCCGGGGCAGGCGAGAATCGAACTCATGTGCTGTGCTTTAACCCACTGCACCACCAGGGAGGGCCCGAGCCTTAAACTTTTTAAAAATCAACCTTGCTCCCTTTAGAAAGCTTTTGGGAAAATATGCATAGTCTTAAGAATATAGCTTCAGCTTAGGAAAAGTAAGTGATGAATCATGATCTACTATTTGAAATATAGGACCCTTACAGGAGAAAGTTGACTACAGAAATTATTTTCCCCTCAATACATAACTACAACCCAAAGCAATTCCTTGGAAGTAATCAAAAAGAGATTCCATTGGCATTAGACATCTGAATCCAGAGGAAAGCAACTGTCCTGCTCTTCTCTCTAGAACCAGTAAAGTCTCCCAAGGGAGCAGCACCAAACTACAGGAAGTTAGAACAGCTCTTTGTAGGTGTCCTGAGCCTTCTCCTGAGTGAATGCGGAAAGCTCAATGGTTTCTTCTCAGCTCTCATTAATCCTCCTGCACTTCCACTAACCACACTTCTCACAGGGAGGAGAGGGGGGTCCCTGTGCCAGTTTCCAGACATTAAATGCTTTCCATTGTAGAAGTCAGATCACTTAGCTGCTACTTGTGGGTCTGCTAATCCTAAGTGGTTTGGCCACCATTTTTTGTTACCTGCAGTTCTGCATTCCTATACAAGATCAGAACTGCCTTGCCAATCAGTCATAGGAACCAAACCATCCAAGGTAAACCAACCAAGAGCAGAAAGCTTGATCATTCCTGGAATGGTGTGCATCACGAGGTATAACCGGGGATACCCGGAAGCCAAGGACCCATGTCTGAAGACCCATGTCTGCCAAGAACCCCAGAAGCTGAACGGTGAAAGACCTGTTGATAAGACTGAAACCATGGCTGGGAATCTAGGGCTTGATCTCAATAATAATGAGTCATCAAGCAGATGAGAAGTACCTATAGAACGGACTCCCAACCCCTGATGTGATGACAGAGCCCACTGTCTAGTCTCACCCCCTCCCTTTCCTTTTTGTCCTCCTTTCCCCTCACAATTGATGCTGTGTGATTATTCGATCTATAAAAAGGCCAGGATCTTGATCTTTGGCAGCATCCTACAGCTTGCTCCACCACTCCCATTTGCCAGTGAGGTGTTATCATGGCAATACTACTTTTGAAATAAGACGAACCTTAGGAAGTGGCCAGGGAGCTACTGTGACAACCTTGCCAGAGGGAGACACTTACACTAAGGTGATCTGATGTCAAAGTCAGAAGGTCGTGATTGGATGGATGAAGTTTTTCAAACAGAATCGTATCTGCTCCTTTGGAGTAAAGTTTTATCCGTCCTTCAGGATTTCGAACTGAAAGAAACATGTTTGGAAAGTAAATTATAATCAAAGAGAGCTATCAAACTAGACATTCACAAGGTTCCAGTCAAGCAGCCAGGAAAAGAGCATAATGCTTTAACCAGTAGTAAAATAGTCATACCTTTAGCAGGAAGTTCACTACCTAAGCCATTTGGCTTTATTCCTATTGTCTTAACTTAGCAATCTTCAATTTATTAGAATCCTTCCTTTGATTTCCCAAATTCACAAACAAGTATATTCATATTGCTATGCATGACTTTTCTATTTTTCTTACCTGCCATTTCTGAAGAATTGATAAGATTTGAATTAAGACTTCCATATTGAGAAGAGAATTTGCCTATCTCCTGGTGTGAAGTTCAACTCCAACTGTATGAATCAACTAACAGTGTAGTATGTCAGATTTTCGTGTGGAATTCTAGTTATTCAAAGCCTTTGCTAACATATTTCTTATCCTTTTTACTTCTTAGAAAAGCTCATCTATTTCTTTTAGTTCACTCTTGGGTCACAATATTGGCTGCAAGTCCACTTCATAGGGGGTAGAAATTAAAATTTCTACCTTCTTCCCATTGGATATCTATCTTAGGAGAACTGTATTTTCACCTGTCCCCAGACATGGAGCTAATGGCACTGACTAGGCTCCCCTCCTTTCTAATTCCTGAGCCTCCCCCTGACTGTCCTACAGTTAATGTCATTACAAATCTTTCTTTAAAACTATAGAATACTGGCCAACCCTTGTAGACTTGGTTTTATAGTTTGGCACATATACACAATCATTTGTTAAATGAGTGAATGACTTAATAATGTATCTCTTTCTAAGAACTACCTAAAATTTAAGATAATTACCTGGGTCACAACTTCATTGTCCAAATACTCTGTCTCTCAAAGGTTTTATCAACTGAATCAAAGATTATTATTGATTTCCATTTAAACATATATTTTCTTTAAAAATCAAGTGCCTCAAAACAGGTGACCATAACTATTAGTTATTTTTAGTAGCATACACAATCTAAAGCTTGGTTTACAGAAATATAGTATCAAAATATAAAAATTTACTTTCTCTTCTAACCTATAAATATGCTTATTCAACACTTATTCTAGTTTCTTCCTGGTTTGAATAGACCCAATGTACCCTGGAAACTTCAAGGTTTTTGGAACTTAGCTAGGGCTGTCCTCTCTTCTAAGATCCTTGGTGAGCTCTCCTACTTGCCAGAACTCATGTAGTTTTTCTTGTCCTCTGGCTTTATTTGTCCATTGGGAAATAAAACAGGATCATTTAATCCTACCGGAAAAGGTTTTTTTTTTTTTTTGCTTTTCCTATATAAAAATCCATTGTAATCATTTCACCCATATTTCCTCCTTTCCATCATCACAACTATGAAAGCAAAATATGTTATATCCTACATTTGCCAGTATGACCTTTCTATGACTGGTTTTGTAATCCAAGTTAGAACATCAGTTCTCAAACTTTATAGCTCAAAACTCCTTTACTCTCTTGAAACTTTACAGGGATTCCAAAGAGCTTTTAAATATGAGTTCTCTATATCAACATATATCACATTAAAAATTAAAACAGACTTTTTATTACATCAAGTCTTGTAATGGTAATAATTATACTAAACTAATACAGATTAACATATAACATTATTAAGAAAAAAAGCTAATTTCAAAAAAGTTTGGCTTGGAGAATGTCGTTGCCTTATATAATTATGGGTCTTCTCAATGTCTGGCTTAATGGAAACAGTTGAACTATCCTGTCTACTTCTACATTCAACCTGTTGTTATAGGTCATATAACTTTTGTAAAACTCCACAGTATATTGAAGAGAAAAAAGAATGAAAAAGACAAAAAAGCATTAGTATTATTATGAAAATATTTTGTCCTTGTGAAATTTTTGTCCTCTGAAAAGTTCTCAAGGTTTCCCGGGGTTCTACAGGGCACACATTGAGAATCACAAATTCCTTGCCCTTTCGTCTAATCAGTTTCTATATTTGAAAGGAAGAATTACACAGGTGAAAGGATTGTTTAATCAATGAGAGTTTGGGGGTCCAGTAAAGATGATCTTTTTTTTCTACAGAAAAATATCAGGATTTTTTGTATTAACAACCTTAAACTCATTTATAACATTATTTTTGTTACATACTGATTGATTGCCTCTTTCTATGAGAACAATTCACCAGAGGATTCACGAGAGACAGAGTGGGGAGCAGAATAGGCAGATCTATTAAAATACACTGCTGAGGGGAGCAGCAGATGGGTCAGGGGAGGTCTGCCATGCCATGGGGTCACCTCCTTGGCCGGGGATTGAACTTGTGCTGCAGTGGCTTTGGGAAGCTTCATAATACATTGCTTTAACCCGCTCTCCACCAGGGAGAGCACTGATATTATTTTTAATGTATTCTGATATGACTGAATACATGAAACATACTTTGCTCAGAAACATACGTATTATTGTTTCATACACTCAAAATCTGGTCATTCTGCTTTAAAAATTAGCTGTTAGAAAAGAGGAAAAAAGCACATTTACAATTTTATTTGTTACATTATTGACAAAACAAAATCTACTTTGGCTAGGGCTCTAATGCATCTCTTAAGTCAGCATTAACCTCTTTAAACTTCAGTATGTATAAATCCAACTGCATGAAATCCTACTGAAGTTTACTCACTGTACATTTCTTTCACAGCTTTTTATTTTAGGCTTCTAGACATTTCCTCTAGGAAATCTCAAGACTAATAAAATCTCAGTCACTTCAGAATTTAACCTTTCCAAAATAAAAGAATCTAACAGCTTTAAGTGGTCACAATAACAGGTGGGGAAAACCTGGGAAAGTTCATAGATTTTAGTTATAGAATATCTTCTCCCATCACCTGGCCTTCAAATCTGAGGTTCTTCAGAGATTTACCAGGAACTACTTCTCTTTCCATCCTCACATTCTCCCCAGCCAACTTCACTTTCTTTTTATAGCTTCGAGTTCCATCGACAGATTGACTGCTCACAAATACACATCTCCTGCCCAAATCCATCTCCAGCATTTCATTCCAACTTGTATTTTCAACTACTAACTGGATATCTTCCCTTTGGATATGCCCACACATCAGAATCAGACACATAATCTTCCTCCAACAACTAGCACCTATTTCTATATCCCCAGTCTCAAAAACCAGCTTCACCCATCCACTCCATCTCCCAAATCATATCTGATCATTACTCAAAGCCCCTCCCCCTCTCTCAGCCATCTATACTAACTCAATGCCATGAATTTCTCTCTGCCACCTTCTCTCTTGCCCAGATTACCACATTAAGTAATCTATATGATGTTGCTTATTCCAATCCTGCCCCCCCCCCATCCCATGTCTTCAACTACTGTTTAGAATCCTGCTGATAGCTTCCTCCTGCCCTAACATCAAGTTCAGATACTCTAACACAGCATAAGTAGAGCTTGCTAAGACCTGCCTCTTTCCATCCTGTGTCCTGACAGGCTTCCCCATCTTTTCCTGGATTCAACTGCACAAAATAACTGTCATGTTTTTTCAAATGTGCTCCCATTTTCTCTTAGCTTCAAGTTGAAGCATGGTAGGTACTTAATAAATATTTGCTTCATTAAGTTGAATAATTCAAAATGCATTGAAAGCAGCAGCAAAGACCTTGTGAAATAAAGGTGGCAAAAAGCTCAGAAGTGGCAATGGCACACAGTTTATACTATGAGAGTAAATGTAACAGCAACATTGCCATATTTACTAAATGGATAGGCATATCTACCCTTATTTAAAGTTCTTATAAGGGCTTTTCCAGGAATTATTGTAGTTTATTCTTCTGTAATGGTTAGCTGCCATTTGTCTCTCTTACTACTTATCTTTGAATTTTATAACATTTTTCTTTACATAATTAGCATAATTGGTCCTTTAAAAACCATATAATGTCAATGTAGCAGATTTCATATCTTACATATGTCAATGTAGCAGATTTCATATCTTCTGAAAAACTTCTTTATAAGAAATCTATTTTTATTTAGATATCTTTTAATTAAATCAAGGCTCTTGCCTCAGAATCAAAGAACTACTGGTATTAAAACTATACGTTCACGGTTCAGTGACTGGGAGTCAAACAAAAAAAAAAATGAAGAAGGAAAAGCAGCAGTAGCAGCAATAGCAGTAGCAGCAAATGTCTGAGTCTTCACATTAGGGTGTTGTCCCCACAGACCAAACCATATGACCATCATGAGAACAGGGTTGTTTTTCACCTTGTTACTTAACTTTTTTTTTTTTTTGACCTTAATGGAGTCCCTCTTTCAAATTCCTCCTAATTAAAAATCAAACAGAACCAGAAAAAAGCCCACAAGCCTCCATGCCTTCTGTGGTGGTGCGTTACCTTTCCTCATCTGGGACCAATTACAGCAAACATCTAGTGTTTGTGGTTGGGCTGCCATCTCTCCACAGCCTGTAATGGTGACCAGCATAGGGCGGGGGGAGGAGAGGTGGATGAAGGCCATAAATTTCCCTGTGTAGCAATCTTGGGCTTTTGTCAACACCGTCAGAGCAAAGAAGCCCGTCTGGGCCAGCTCACCATCAGTAACACTTTGCCTGAAGCCAAGCAACAGGAACACCTGCTGACACACATCGGCCACTCCCAAGCAGCACATATGCTCCTCAGTGACACCGACCACAACTGCCCACAGCCTTCTGTCCAAAATAAACAAACCTCCTCAGATGATGTCTGGTTTTTACCTGCTGTGATCCGTCTCCTGGGGCTAATTTCCAGTTGTTAGAGACCAAAGTCCTTTCAGTTTTGCTTAAATACTTGTTTTCTACAGTAGAATCTGATTTTATCTGATGAGCGGGATATTTTGAGGTTACTAAGGGTTGTGTCAAATTTTGTTTAGCACACTTGTAGAAAATCTACTGTGTGACAATTCCTGCACTTAGCCCTGGGCCACTGAAGACCAAGAAGACAGGCAGAGTGGCTCCCCTGGTGGAGCATACACGCCCACCAGGGCCTGATACCACACTGCTATGATATCAACAGGTGCCCTGAGGGGCAAAGGAGACTGTGGTTACTGGAGGAGTGGGAAAAGAATGGAAAGAACAGAGTGTACTGGGGCTGAAATGACCAGATCAGGAGTAATTTTCCAAGAAGAGTAGGGGGATCTCAATATAGGAAATAGCACAGGATGATTATAGAATTGTGGGTTAAAAGAAGGATCCAGAAGACGAAGAAGGTATCACAGACACAAGCAATGAGAAGGGGGCAAGTAAGGGGGGGAGAGAAGTAGGATGAGACAGAAAATTCAGTAATGAAACAGAACAAGGGCAATTTTTCTCTAAGGAAGAAAAAAGAATGAGTAAAGCTATCATTTGGGGATAAAGGATAAAGATGAGGAAAGTGTAAGTCAATGATGTGCATTTCTTTTTTTTTTTTTTAAAGATTTATTTATTCATACATATAGAGCTGGGGTACAGGCCAGAGATGCAGAGGGTGAGAGGATTCACCAGAGACAGAGTGGGGAGCAGAACAGGCAGATCAACGAAGTACACCGCTGAGGGGAGCAGCGGGTGGATCAGGAGAGGTCTGCCTCGCCATGTGAATCTCCTCTGGGGCAGGCAGGGATCGAACTCATGCGGAAGTGGCTCAAGCCTCTTAGTGCTGTGCTTTAACCCGCTGCGCCACCAGGGAGGGCCAATGATGTGCATTTCTAAGGGTCTCTATTTTCTTAGTTAAACAGGAGATTAATTTAGCTTTGCAAAGATGAAGCGGATCCATCGATAGTTGCAGGGTTGGGGACTTGAGGACTGGGTTTAGAATGTCTGTGTCAAGGATTGGAAAAGAAGTAAAGTAAGAACAAGAGGGAAGTTGAAGCAACACTGAGGGTAAGAAACAGTGAGGAAAGAACATATTTGCTGCGGTGCTAAACGCAGTATTAGGGAAGCATCTTCTGCAGCACAGGTGAAGAGAGCACATGGATGACAATGAGAATGCAGATGATGATGGTCACATACAGTGTCAACAACTAGCACATGCCAAGTACTGAGGACCTCTTCTGGAGCCAGAGTCAGGTAGTAACTAAGTGAACAGATTCTGCGATCAGACCTTCTGGTGTGCTGGCTTGCAACCCAGCTGTTCCAATTCAAGCTACATGGACCTGGGAAAGCTATTCAATTGGAAAAGTTACCTCTGTGTCTCAATTTCATTATCTGTAAAATGGGCATAAAAGTGATATGCCCTGACAGGATTACTGTGAAAATTAAATCATGTAGAGCACTTAGAACAATGCTGGATGCAAGATAGAGACTGGGTAAATAGCATTAGGCTTATCACAGCAGTGGTGATGTTAAATTGAGAGTGGCAGTACTTTATAAAGATACAAAAACATCACAATGCTCAACACATAACCAAGAGTGAAAGCATCTTCAAGACACATCATGATAACCATAATACTAGCAAAAGATCAAAAATAATGGCAGTTCCCACCGTACCTATAACAGACATCCTTTTTCTGATATTGTTAAAATCCAAAAAGGCAAGCAATTGATAAGTAACTAGTGTTCCTAATTCTTCTATTGTTATAGTCTCTGGGGTTCGAGACTTAAAAATGAACCCAAAATTTCTTGCAGCAGTCACTAGAGCTCCTTCATCAGGTGACTGAACTTTGTAAGTCAGCTGTCCTACAAGGAAGAGAAACAAATATATTAAACGACAGCCCAATGAAGTTATAAAAGAAAAAGAAAAGAAACAAATGTAGGGTAAACAAAGTTATGAGGCTTTCCCTCCCCAAAACCCCACACCCACCCTCTCACCATTATCCTCTATGGGCAGCACCTGCGGTGCTGCACCTGCACCTGCAATTATGGACAAATGGGCCCTGACAGCATGGGACATGTACATATGGGGACACCTTTACTTTTCATGTGCAAGAGCTGAAAATTAACCTACCATTCCTGAGATGGTTAAAAAAAAAAAAATCAATGCAGACAACAACTAACATTCCCAGAATGCCAATACCAACATGAACACTAACTCCCCACACAAGTGTCAGATCTAGAAATCAGACCTTTTCTATTCACCAATAGGCCCATCAGATGCCTGTGTATGAGACACCACAGGACTCCATGCCCTGCCCATGCCGCCCTTGCCATCTTACAGAAAAATGTTCATTCCTGAGTCTGCCCACCTGCTATGCTGGTTTCCTCAACAGAGACCATGCCTTGGGGTTTTCAGGGGCTAGTGATGTACCTTGAAAATTTCACAAAAATCAGGCTGGAAATTTAATATGTTCCTGTACTACAACACCAACTGAAGTAAATGTAAATCCTTTCTGGTAAAACAAACTTACACTTAAAAATTCCTACAAATAAAGTTTGAAATAAAAGGGTTGTGTCATTTCACAGTGAAAAAAAAATCATAGAAACCACAATAAATATGATACAATATGAACAAAAAGAAGAGGCCAAGCTCTGCAAAAAACTTTAGATATGATAGTTATAATAAGTAGTAAATACTTGATAGATTTCAAAACAAAAATGATGCATGAAGTCAAGCATATTTGAAGATTCAAAGGCCTTGTGGAAATTAAAAATCAAAACTGCAAAGTAGATATTATTAGAAAATAAATTAATGAACTAGGGAGAAAATTCCAGAATATACCCTAGATAGACTAAGAAATAGAAAAATGAAAGAACAGTTAAAAGACATAATAGAATGAAAATGTTATCAATAAAGATCTAATATGGGAGGGGAAATGAGTCAGAGGCAATAACTGGAGAGGAATATGGTGGAGGAAACTCTAGAGACAATGTAAGACAGCATTGTACAGACTCAGGATTCTTAATGAATCCCAAACAATACTAATGTTTTAAAATTCATACCATTACAGCAGAACATGAAAGAAGACATTTTTAAGAGGCTGATTACCTTCAAGTCATAATTACAATTGATAGCTAATTGTCACTACACAGTAACAGAAATAGCCACCAAAATACAGAGCACTATCTTCTATGTATAGAGTAAAATTGTCATCTTAAGAAGTTTTTTACACATAGCAAACATTATTCAAGAATAAAGGAAGAAATTTGTTTTAAAACAAAGTTTGGTAGGAATGTAAAATGACTGTAGTGTAAGCCCTGACAGGTAGTGGGTGTTTTTTCTTTAATTATATGTATATATTTACATCATTCTTCATTTTGTACATTTTTTCATCTCAGTTGTAATCCCCATGGACTTCCCACCACCACTTCACCATGTGCCACCACCATAGTCCTGTGTGCTCTTCCTGCCCCAGTTTTGATCATGGTCCCCTCTCCTCCCCTATAGAATGTCTCTGGTTTATAATTGTTAGTTCATTTTAGTTTTTACTTTATTACAATTACACATTTTCTTTTCCTAATCCCTTACACGTCTGCTATGCTTGAAACCATTCAGTATTTTTTTTTTCTTTCTGGCTTATTTCACTAAGCATGATCCCAAGTGTAAATCAAACCCACAATGAGATAACATCTTACACCAGTGAGAATGGCACATATTAAAACAACTAGCAACAACAAATGTTGGTCAGGATGTGGAGAAAAAGGAACTTTCTTGCACTGCTGATGGGAATGCAAACTAGTACAACCACTATGGAAAATTGTTTGGAGGTTTCCTCAAACTGCTAAACATGGAGCTTCCCTACGACCCAGCAATCCCACTCCTAGGTATCTACCCAAAGGACACAAAAACATTAATTCAAAAGGACACCTGTGCCCCATGTTTATTGCTGCATTATTTACAATAGGGGAGATGCATGTGTAGTCAACCCATATGCCCAAAAACAGATGACTGAATTAAGAAGATGTGGTACAGATACACTGTAGAATATTACTCAGCAACCAAAAAAGATAAATGCATGCCATTTGTGGCAACATCATGGTTGTCTTTTTAATGGTAGTAGAAATGTTTGGCATTAGGGTTTGATGGTGAACGCAACCATTTCAAATACAGCTGTGCTCAACAAACATTTCTTCAGGCTACAGGACTAGGTGAAGAGTCAAAAGGCCCACCTGATGTAGCCTTTGTTTTAGAGATCTCCGACTGACTTACCACCATTTGGCAACTTGTTTCCTTCCCCATACTTTAAGAATTTAATGTATATTATAAATCCTTCAATAAAGGACAAAAATAAACACACAACTATATATCAGAGACATTAAAGTGAGGGAGAGGAGAGCACAAGGGACTGCAGTGATGGTACACTAGTGAACTGGTGAGGGAAATTCTATGGGAACTACACTTGAGAAAAGAAAGCAAACATTGTAAAAAAAAAAAAGAAAGAAAGAAAGAAAGAAATAGAATAAATATGTAAAATATAGATAAATAAATTTTAAAAATAAAAAAATATGGGCCCTCCCTGGGTGGTGCAGTGAGTAAATGCAGCACTAAGAAGCTAAAGCCACCTCAGCATGAGTTCAATCCCCAGCCTCGGAGGTGACCCACATGGCACGGAAGACCTCTTCCTGACCCGCCCACTGCTCCTCTCAGCAGTGTACTTCATCAGTCAGCCTGTTCTACTCCTCACTCTGTCTCTGGTGAATCCTCTCACTGCCTCTGGCCTGTACCCCAGTTCTGTATGCACAAATAAATAAATCTTTTAAAAATATAAATAAATAAAAAATAAAGGATAAGGTCAAAAAAAAAAGAAGGATGAACACATGAAATGCAAGGAATCCTACCCTGGGCCCTACTGAAAGTAGAACCCCAGGCCTGGGTTCATGCTCTCTCCCCATTCCTTCCAACCTGCTGTGTGGCCCTCACTGTATAGTGTATCCTCCATGACCTGTGATTCATAAACCATGTCTTTTCACATTTCCCTGCAGCTGTTGTTGAGGGGCACCTTGCAAATACAAAGAACCACCAGGGCCAGATCAGGCACAACAATGGTTCCAAAGGGGCAAATGTCTACGGGGCCTCACCACAGATGCAGGGGAGCACTCCAGGCATTTCTAGCATCTTTAAAGGCTGAATGTGACACAAAAACAATGGCACAAGCATTTTAGAAAGAGTTCCGCAGTTCCTTAGAAAAGTAAACATCTACCTAAACTAAGATCTGGCAATTCCAATTCCTACATATTACTTGAAAACAAATTTGTATTAAAAAATTATTCAAGACATAAAAATTTTGTGGCAGCTTAACTAATAGCCCAAGGTCAGAAACACCACTGTTTCACAGCAGCGGAGGACCTAGGGAAAAGCATGTGGAGCATATATGGAATGTTGCTTAGCAGTGTAAGAAGGAATAAACTGTCATTGATATATATTGTGCAGCCAGCCCAGGCCACATAGGTGCACCATCAGTTCTAACAATATAAAAGAGAACTTTTGAGCCCTTGGTGTCATCTTCCCAGGTTTTAATGGTAAACAGGGGAATCAAACCGGCAAGGACAGTAACCCCACTCCAGTGATGATACACTGCCTTTTTATCCCTTCTCCCGAGGTACCCACAAACAGGCACCTGTGCTCCATGCACACACAACTTCTACATTTTGCACACATCAAGCCACTGAAGCTAGTGGTGTAAAAAGCCCAATTAACTCATTTGCCCTATAGTACAACAATATGCATGAATGATAAAAGCATTGCATGACCCAGAAGAAGCCAAACACAAAAGAATACATAATGTATGGCTTCATTTATATGATGTACAACAAAAAGTAAAATTCATTTAAATAGTTGAGTGCACAAGGTCGGAGGTGTAGAATGAAAAGGAATATGAGTAATTTTCTAGAGTGATGGAAAATAGGTAAATGATGGTCACCTGGTGTATATAACTGAAAATTCACTAAGCAATACCCTTCAAATATGTGCATTTTGGTAACATTAAAATTGTATACAAAATGAAAAATTTTGTAAGTGGTACTCAAGTCTGAATTTATCAGTAAACCAAAAATGTGTCTGAAAAATAAATGAAAAGGTTTGACCAAAATAAAGAAAAAAGCAGCTCAAGAGATTTGTAGGAGAAAATAAGCAGCTAAAAGCAATACCCAAGATTCGCCAAACTCAAGCTCAACAAATGAGAAAAGTGAAAGTGGTCCTGGGGTCACCTTTAGTAAAATTAATCACTGAATTCTATTCAGCACTTCTGCTTGAGGCAAGAGGAGATTCTCAAACACAAATAAGAGCAGGTAACCACAGTCACCAAGCAGTAGAGGAAAACATGAAAGCTAGACACAGAACTCAAGATTTAACTCCTCATAAAATGGAACATAAATGAAAAAATATCCAATTAAACATTCATTAATTAAGCAAATTATGTCATCAAAGAGAAAAAATATTTAAATAACAGATTACTCTTGAAATAGTTTGGAATTTAAATAAACTTAAAGGCACAGATAAGAGAAACTTAACATTGTAATATCTTCAAATAAAAATAGATCAAATCATTAATTGGCACTAATATAAAGATCAGTTTAAGTCATAAATATTATGTGAATCCTCAAAGCAATTGAAAACAGAGGAATAGGGTAGACCAGCATTATCAAGGACAAAACAATAGCTTTGATGCAGCACTACAAATAAAAGATATACATAGAGAACTAAACACACATGAATTTTATGTATGCATATATACATATACACACATAACACACAAATTCTATATATTCACTATATATAGTATATTCACTACATATATAGATCATGTATGATACATATATTTCATTTCTGAGTTAAAATGACTTAAGTGGTAGTGTTAACTCAATAGTGGTAGCTGAAAGAAATAAAATTTATAAATCAAAAAGATTGGGGTCTATTTGGAGCAAGAAGTCAATTCACTAGCATTAGTTACTGTCTCATTGCCTTAATATTAAAGGTCACAAATGACTTTGTTCTATTCTATGAACACTATTTCCATGTGTGTAGGAATTTGTTCACAATGGAAATTAAGTAAGAATATTCTAATATCAGGGTAAATCTGTCCTGCTTCCTGGGAAAATTCATTCCAAACATATGCCTAATGGTCCTCTACATATATTAGATATGTGTGTTAATAATGAGAGTTACATGATTCACCTGTGTTTCCCCTAGTCACCAGGCTACTGGGAAGTGGTACTCAATTATAAGAAATATTTTATCCCCCTAAGTAGAACATTTAAGCTCTCATCTTTCCAGTGCTCCTACTTCTTTTACTTTTCTTCTAATTCTCTTCACATTTGGGAGGAAAATACTTAGGGTATAGATAAATACAAAGAAAAGCAAGTGATAGGTAAACCCCTTATACAATGCTCTACTTTAATTTAGAAAAGCTCTTTTAATTCCAAAATCTTAATTAAAAGTATTAGGTGAAAGGGCAAATCAAAACAAAATTCACCACTCAGGCACATTAACCACTTACCTGCACTATCTTCCTCCGACATTACTGTGTGGCAGAGAGCAAGTAACCTAAGAAATTCATGCACTTCAGGATCACCTAGTTTAACAGATTCGATCAGATGCTGGTCAAAAAACTGAAATGTTCTGTCTGCTTGAGGGTTGAATGAGAAATCCACAGGCTCTTTTTTCTGTAGGAGGACAGCAACAACTAAAAGAACTGTAGACTTCATTCCAACAACACTCTTTTTGACAATTCAAAAATACTTCCTCTAAGCATGTTTTAGTGCTTGTATGATTTTGCAGCCTCAAACTTCTGGCACTAAAATGACTTTCTGTTTCCTCATTACTGTTAAATATTATCTTCCCATTTCAGAGCCATGTACCAAAAGCATTGAACCTTCCAAAAATATATGGAAAAGCAAAATATCCAATGACTGTCAGACCCTCAAATGTTGATTGCAACTACATATAGAAAAAAAACCTGAAAATTGAAAGCCTTTTTCAAAACCTCCCTAATAGCAGAATCTGACCTGACTTGAATTCATTATGGCAGCAATATCTGACCTAGAGTGTAATATATACAGTTACAGAATTTCTATTTATTATTAATTAACATTCCCAATGCAAAAATATTTACATTGCACACATTATGAGATTTCACATAATATAATCACAGATACAACATAAGCTCTTTCTACAACCAAAAAATCTCTGAATTCATAAATAATTCTGACTCCCAAAGTTTTGAATCAAGGGTCATGAACCCTGTTTCTATTTCAAGAGTTTTCTGTGGTTCTACATATGACTAAGGGTTTATTAGCTGAGAGCCCATATTATCTCTGTAGGGCTATGGCTGGAGCTTTTATTCAGAAAGTTTCTTAGTCTTTCATTCTTAAACCGTAAGTTAAGACTTCAAGTTTAAAATCTTACCTGGACCTTGAAGGCATCATGCTAAGTAAAAGTAGCTGAAGAAAGACAAACAAACAAAAAAGAACTCATAGAAAAAGAGCTCAGATTTGTGGTTACTATAAGCCCAGAGTTGAGGGAGGGAAATTGGAGGATAGTGGTCAAAAAGTACAAAATTCCAGTTATAAGGTAACTAAGTACAAGTATGTACTTAAGATGTAATGTGCACCATAATGACTACAGCCAATACTGTTATAAGGTATACAGGAAGGTAAGGGAGTGAATCCTAAGAATACCCATAAGGATTTTTTTCCTTTTTTCTTCAACTGTTTTCTTTCCTTTTTAACCTATCTATATTACAAATGGATATTAGCCCAACTTACTGTAATAACCACTTCATTATATATATTATATGTTTTTTTACATATATGTATTAGCCATCATACTTCTATGCCTTAAACTCATATAGTGTCGTATGTTAATTGCTCCTCAATAAAACTGGGGTAAATAAATAAAATCAAAGAAGAATTTGGGCACAGATTTTTTTTAATAATATAATAGTTAATTTTTACATCATTGTGTGCCTTTTTCCATCTCAGTTGTAATCCCCATGGGCTTCCCATCACCAAATCACCTGTGTGCCATCATCATAGTCCAATGGGCACAGAATTTTTTAAGTCTCCCTAAATTTTTGTAGTTGATTGTAAAGTTAAAAGAGCAGATGTTACTGTCACTGATTATAAAAGAGAGAGAGTACTGTGGGCAATTTAAATCACCAACAGCAACTCATAGAGTTTAATACCAACAATAAAGCTGAGTTGAGTTTAGGGCCCTTGATTCTTACATTAATGCTGGATAAAATAAGAAATAAGTATTAGTTCTTTCAGTGGGTCAGATACTAATCTAACTCCTTCCCAGTCGCTAATTCAACAACAGCTACCATTAATCAGGGGTTAACAATATGTTAGTGTGTTTTTTATCTACATTCCTTTAGTACGTTCAACCTATGACAATGGTTACCAAATAAAACCATACAAGTCATTATCAAGTCACTAGACCATTCACCCTTCCACCATATTCCCAACCCACTTCCCAGAGGAAATCACTTAAACATTCTCAAAAGGTATAACAGGAAAATTAAATTAAACTTATACCATCATTTCTGAGACCTTATCTACAAATCTGTTTCTATATTACATGAAATTCACTGCTTCATTTTTTCCTAAATCTAACAACATAGATATACCCATAATTTTAATTTCTCTATTGATCACTTCTGTAACTTTCCATGAATTTTAATGCCTTCTTTTTGTTTGGTTTATATTTATAAACACTCTCAAATTGGTATTATGAAGTTACTATCCACCCCTTACTTCCCTCCCTTACTTTTATTTTTTTCTTCCAATCTGTTGCTTGCATTTTTTCTATTTCACTGTAAAGACCGAAAATATGTCTACTCTGTGCTGTAGCCAAATTAATATCATTTTCTCTGGTCTAAGGACGCTCATCTAAAAGCTGATAGTCAATATATATAGTGTTTCTGTAAATCCTACTTTGAACTACTGTTCACAGCAGAGGTGAGAAATGTACTTTACAATGTGGGTCTTGTGGTCTGCTCCACTCACAACTAATTGTTTGCTAGGTCTTCTATTCAGCTGTGACTTGGGATTTCACTAAGTCTCAATCTGCCAGCTGACATCCTAGGTTAATTTTTCTCTTTCATTTTCTGACTCTTTCTACCCATTCTATTTTTCTGGAAGATTCTCTCGATTTTCCAAGTTGGAAAATATCAGAATTTTACAACTCTTCTACTGAATAATTTCTGTTGCCATTTACTTTTTGACTTCCAAGATCTTTTTCTTGTTTTCATGATTGTGATCTTCTAGAGCATTCTGCCTTGTGTCTTGCATGCCATATCTTCCCAAATCTCTCTGCTGGGGTTAATTAAACTTCTACCATACCATTGCCATTCTAATCTCAATTTTAAGTGATCTTGGATCATATTGCTACTTATATTTTGGCTTTTATCGAATTTAATCACAGACAATTTGTAATGTCTGTTGACTTGTTCTTACCGAATTATGTTCAACAGTAAAATTAAGTGAATTCTTACACAGGTAAGGACTTACTGGCCTGCAGTTTGCACTTTAGAGTGAATGAGGGTCCTCATTCTCTAAGGTATGAAACTATTGACGAAAGGCACTTCCTTAACCTGTTTTGGTCCCAGAGACAGAGAAGATAAAAGTTAAATAAGGAATTTCACAGATGAGTAGAATTTCCAGGAAGCATGATTACTCTGGGTTAGCAGAGAAAAAGATTCTTTGCCTATTGCTACTGGACAATGCACAGTAATAATTAATCACATGCAAACTAGTCTAACCACTGTGAAATGCTGTGTGGAGTTTCCTCAAACTACTAAAAATGGAGCTTCCATATGATCCAGCAATTCCACTCTTAGGAATCTACCCAAAAGACACAAAAACATTCATTCAAAAGGACACCTCCACCTCTATGTTTACTGCAGCACTTTTTACAATGAGTAAGCTATGGAAACAATCCAATTGCCTAAAATAAATGACTAAATCAAGAAGATGTGGTGTGTACATACATATAATAGAATATCACTCTGTAGACAAAAAAGATAAACTCATACCACTCACAGCAACATAGTTGGAGCTGGACAGGATTATATTCAGTGAAATAAGCCAGAAACAAAAATAAAAATATCAAATGGCTGTACTTATAGAAGGAACATAGAGGAAACAAATAAGGGGTGTGAGTGAAGTAATTATAAGTAAGAATGAAATTTATCATCTCCACACCTTAGTCATGTTTGTTTTCTGACCCAGGTCATCCTGTGCTTCACCTGTCAAAACAAAAATTGATAATTAAATAAAATGAAACCCAGATTCAAACATTTAATTTTGAGGACTATACTTATTTAGTAAAGCACCATTACTTGTTGACATTTTGAGCTCCAATGTTGACATTTTGAGCTCAAATGTTGACATTTTAGGAGTGATTTCAAACTTTAACCCTAGACATGGCAATCAACACAAAGAGAAAAGTGCAGCATGCATTAAAACAAAATATAAAGCATACAACGGTTTCTTTCATTAATTTTATCATTCTGTTGTCACAGTAAACTATGATCCTTGCAAGAGGCAAATTTTTGTCTTCCACTTTATCTCTCCTGTTTGAGAATCTAAAATTATATAGACAGACCACTTCTCACAAATGCTAGAGTTCAGCTAGTATATCTTTGTCTATTTTGGTTTGTACCAGTTACATCTGTGTAATATCAAGGTCAAAACAAAGTCAGTGCCTTCCACAGCAAAAGAACATAGCCACAAATATGGCAGACACTTAAAAATAACTTTACTTAGTATTAAGCTGATAAGTGTTTAGTTTAGAAACATTTAAAATTACAGGTGTTTATAGTAGAAAGTAAAAATTATTAATAATCTCACCACTCAAAACTAGTATTTGTAGAGTTATTTGGGGGAATTGATTCTGTGGAATGGGGGGAATGTATGGTTACATATATTCCTCATAATTTTATATATATTCCTTATAATTTTGACTAGTTCAATAATAGCTCATATAACATAATTTTAGCTGTTTAACTTTTGGAGACCTTTAAGATTTTCTTATATTTTGGTTGGCATTTGAAGTCTAATACTATTTTCCCAGACTATAATTTTTGTGGTTATAATAAGAGTTATTTGCATCGACCCTGTACCAGGCATTCATATTATCATTAATCTTTATAACAAACTTGCAAGATGAATGTTTTCATTCTTGTCTTGTTTTATGGATGAGGGGGACTGAAGAACAGAGTTCAAACTGACAAGACTAAACTAAACCTTGAAAAACAAGTCTCTCTCTTTTCACTGTACAATGCCACCACTGTAAAGGCATTTGCCAAATATTTCTTCCTTGTTTCCTGGACACAGACCTACATCTGGTCTGTAGGTGGCAGGAGTCCCTGAGTGAATGAATGAATCTATACCGGCACTTGGTATTTAGATCTTACACTTACCATGATTATATTATTATGATTAGCCCGTATGTGGTAATTGTAGCAACAAAACTGTAAAATGCGTCTCCACAAAGAAAGTGTATTTATAGTGTAGTAATGGAAATGAAACAAAAAATTTAAGTCAGTGTGACAAGGTTGTCATATAAATATATGGTCGGAAATCTTCAAAATAAGAGTCCTGAGTCAGAAAAAGCTCAGGTAAATCTCTGAGGAATATCAGTTTTTCATGGAAGATTAATATGAGTCCACATTCCAGCTCCTTTTGAGGATGGTCCTTTTTAAGTCAGATTGATCCAATGTCTCTTTAAAGCCAAATGAAATGGTACAGAAGCTGTGATGTTAATGAACCAATAGCTGAGTGTCCCTTGAATTCAGAAAGAAAGGTTTATTTTTGCCATCCCACACAAGAGTTTATTTTCTCTGGATGGAAATAGTGTCTTTATTGAGGAAACCACTATGAGTTTATATATAAATAAGGCAACTTGTATGAAAACAAGGAAGTTATTCTGAAACATTCTTTGAGTTTTAAGAATGTATTTTAATGACATCATAAATGAACTGCAAATTATATAAATATACATACACATATACATACATATATATGTATGTGTGTGTGTGTGTGTGTGTGTGTGTGTGTGTCTAAAGAGGTTACTTACTCAGTTACTTTCCTGAATTGTATAAGGAAAATTGTAAGCTATCACAAGATTATAAATCTGGAATTTACAAAGATCTTTGATATATGCACTGTGAAAATCAAGGATCTTTCTTAAATTAGTACTGTTATTAACATCTGTACAAATGAATCTTGATCTACAGTTGATAATTTCCTTAGAATCATTTCCTAGTAGTATTATCATTACTATTGGCATTTTCATTATCATTATCATTACATATATGCAATGGCAAAGAAAACAAAAGTGCTCCCAAATTCAAATTATCACCAATGCCCTAACTAAAATTTTTGCATTTAAATTGCTCCTTGGGTTAAGGCAGTATTTGTAGAAAACCTCTAAAAATAACATCAAAAAATTTTAAATCACCAATTTTTATTTTATTTGTCAGTCATTACAACAGTGATATAAAATTGCTTGATGTGACTGCAGGCTTGTACATGTCCAAGCTGCAAATCATCTGGTCTACCACCAAAGAAGCCTAGGGAGGAGCAAGGAGCAGAGGCGAGATGGGAGAGGCATGGTGGCCATGGGTCACGGCTGCAAAGTCAAAAGGCTGGGAAGTACAAAAGTCAACTTTATTTGTAAGTTTTGTTCGAGGTCAACCCTTGCCTAAAAAAATCTTGGCAATGTGTAAAGTTTCCCATCATGAAACAAAGGGAAAGTTTCCCTCTCTTTCTTGGATTTCCTTTACTTCTGAGATTTCTGATTAAGAAATTGGACTCTGAGTGCCGGGAAATGAGTGTCCAGAAAAACCTAACAAGAAGTTTCCCAAGGAGCATCCATGCTCCAGCAGAATTATCTGTCCACTGTCCAAACTCAGGGTGACAAAGGACACATAGAAATAGAATGCCTGAAAATCCAACTACAAAGCATGTATCCTGACAAAAGCATACAAATAGTAACTAGAAATTGACTAACTTTTCTGGCCACTCAACGTAGCCCAGTACAGTAGAAATTCTCAGGAATGAAATCAGGCACTAATACCAATTCCAGAGTGATGTGAAGTGCTTTTACTGCAATAAATCAGGCAACAAAGAATTTGTCTTCCCTGAGCTGTACATCTCCTGAGTGCCCCCAGACCAGGAAAACAGAGTTGGTGCACTGAAAGGAACCTCAAACAGTATCACAACTACCCCCCACCTCTACCCATGGGTAATAGTAAATCCCAAGTTTCATCTAAATTATTTAACATTCATCCAACATATATTCAGTCAGCATTTATTAGGTGTCAACCATAATGTTATTCAATAGATGCTGGTGGTTCCCAGCCTAAAAAGAATGCCAGCAATGGCTTTGGGTTTTGCTTTTAATTAAAAAATAGGGTTGTGTATTTTTTAAGAACTATTAACAATATCATTAAGAAAAAGAAGCTGTTTCCCTTACCATAGATTTTTCCATTAATGGAACATTTTTTAAAAGTCATGATGTTTTGAGTGAGGGTGCCTGTTTTGTCAGAGAAAACATATTCGATCTGGCCCAGTTCCTCATTGAGTGTGGTCGTCCGAACTTCAGCAGGTGTCGCTTTCCCAGAGTAATACATCTTCTGATCCCAGTTTATAAAATAGCTGTGTCCCAGACGAATTACTTCCATACTTTCATTCATTAAAATGGAAAAAGAAAGAAAAACTCAATCAGTGTCAGAGAGTACAGAGCTTTGCAAAAGAAAGAAATCTGCCAATGTCTTCAAAGTTTAAAAGTAAATATAGGTGCTCTGTCCCTAATCCAAGTGGCCTTCACATCTCCACAGTGTGTCAATAAAGTTTCCAAAATCATTTCCTGGCAGCACCATGGGACTGTAGGCTGACTCTGCATAAAGCCATAGGGGATGCTGTATTGTTCTCAATCTATGTAAGACAGGTTGAATGGAGACTTCCTTCAAATGTAGTATATCACCTGGCATCCCCTGTGTCTTAGGGGAAACTATTATTAAAGATACTTATCAGATGTCTAATCTAAAGGATCACATTGAGGGCCCTTCCTGGGGGTACAACAGGTTAAGGCACAGCACTATGAAGCTATCCACAGCCATTGCAGCATGAGTTCAAGCCTGGTCAGGGAGCTGACCCACATGGCATGGCAGACTTCTTACTCTCCCGCTGCTCCCCTCAGCAGTGCACTTCATCAATCTGCCTGTTCTGCTCCCCACGCTATCTTTGGTGAATCTTCTCACTGCCCCTGCACTTCTGGCTTGTACCCCAGTTCTGTAAGCATAAATAAATAGATATTTTTTTTTAAATAATCATGTTGAAGACTTTCCAATATATTATCTGATGTGGCTTCACTTCTTTTTATTATTATTATTTTATATATTTTTACATTAGTCTTCATCTGGTTCATTTTTTCATCTCAGTAGTAATCCCCATGAGCTTCCCACCTATGTGCCATCACCATATTCCCATGTGCTCTTCCTAAGTGCTCTTTTGGTCTTGTTCTCCTCTCCTCCCCCACAGAATGTCTCTGGTTTGTAGTTGTTAGTTGATGATATTTTTTACTTTATTAAAATTATTATACCTATATATATGTTTTAAAGATTTACTTATTTATGCTTACAGAACTGGGGTCCAGGCCATAGGTATGGGAAGGGGAGGGGGTGAGAGGGAAGTGAGCGAACTCACTAGAGACAGAGTAGGGAACAGAAAAGGCAGATCAACTGAAATATACTGCTGAGGGGGGCAATGTGCAGGTTAGGAGAGGTTTGCCACACCATGTGGGTCAGCTCCTTGGCCAGGGATTAAACCTGTGCTACAGTGACTGCAATAGCTTCACAGTGCTTTAACCCACTGTGTCACCAGGGAGAGCCCTCTATATTTTTTTTATCAAAACAATAATGATATACCACCTCACACCGGTGAGAATGGCACATATTAAAAAAACAAGCAACAATAAATGATGTAGCTTCACTTCTAACTAATATCTCCATGAAACACTAAAAGCACCATAGTTAGTTATTCAGAGAAAATAGGGATGTGTTCTCATCTTACTTTGCCCATTTACCAGAAAAAGTGAGTAGTTGTCCCATAATCTACTAGTGATTTATGATTTTCCAACTCTGGAAGTTGAATTTTTTGACAAGTAGTATATTTTCAGTCTGGCATGTGTAAGGCCAAATCAACTTTCAAATAAGGTTAGAATAATGTGAACTTATACCATTAGATTACTGAAAGTTATCTTTACTATATGCCAAGTCAAATGACATCTCATTGTATTTCTTTTCTTATCAATGAGTTGAACATTATTTTCAAATTTTATTGGATAGTGATATTTTTCTACGAATTATCCAATTGTGTTATCTGCCTATTTTATATTTTCTATTTATAAACTAGTCTACTACTTACAGATTTATGGAACCTACATATATAATTTATACATATATATATATATATAT